TCCATTCCTTGTGTAATCAACAACAATTAAAATCACATTCTGTCGCACTAATAACTGCGTTCCGTGTTCCCCAATGGGCTAAATTTCATGCACTTGTCATGTCGGGAACGACGGGATTGTTGCTGATCGCAATCTCATCAAGAACCCTCATCCTTTGACAATTTTTGGACGGTGCAAACTCGTTATTCTTGTACATTTTAATCAGCATCTCACTGTATGTGGCATTGAGTAAATTGAGACTTTTCAATAATATTTTCAGCTTCAACAAATGCTAGCAATGAAAATATTTTTCATAAATTGTTTTAACCAATAAATAGATGTTACTCCAAACTGCTTAGTGATCAAAGCTAAATCTATTATCCAGTAATTATATTTAAGTTAAAACACTAATTGGGATAACCCATTTGATAATTTCACAACAATCATTTCGTTTCATTTCTCAGAGATTTAATCGAGCTGAAATGGTGGTATGAGAAGAGAATCTGAAATAAGAGCTTCGCAAAGTTCGATCAGTACCAAACTAACCTGACTCCTAACTCACATTTTTAAATGCTTCATTTAAACAATGGCATTTATATGCCAATCACATTACTCCAACTTTTTCATTGGCACAGTGATTGATAATCAGCAGTTGACGAGATATGGATAACAAATGAAAATCAAATATATAAGCAACAATTTTTAAATCAGTGAGATCTGTAGCATTTTTGCTATCTTCTCAGTGCCTTTAAAATGTTAAAATCTTTCATTTAAAAAAAAAACTGAAATTAACTCTTTCTTTGAATAAGAGTAACAATTACTAGTTAAAAAAAAAGAATGGCTATAAGTGCTTAAATAAGGATATTCAAATAAATTGAAAAATGCGCTTCCTCTTCGAATGTTTCCACGTATAAATATATATAGTTATTAGCAGCTAAATGTTGCAATTTTATATCTAAAGAAGAGAGCAAATTTCTTGTTGCTAGTGAATTGCAAGAAGATTAATTCAATGAGAATAACAAAATAAGAACGTGTTCATATAATCAATCCATTGACTTTCGCTCCCAATCATCTATTCGAAATATAAATTCATTTACATTATAGATAACACCGATAAGCATTGAAAATTAAAATGTGCTAATCGCTGCATTGAAACTAATACATTACTGCTGATAAGATAATACTGATATCATTTATCAGTTATGGAAGTAAATGTGACAATGAGAGAAGAGAAGAGAAGGAAAGAGAATGAGAGACCAATTAATCATAAAAATCAACATTCATTGAATGGAAAGAAGTGAATTTAAACAGAGGGAAAAGAGGCAGGCAGGCAAACAAGCTTCTCTAATTTGATCTCTCACAAACAAACAAAAAAAAAAATCTGCTGTCACCGATGCCTTAGTTTAATTCAGTTCAGTTCAATTCCAGCTCCAAAACATCACATTAGTAAACAACCATTAACAGTAGCATCAACAGCGCCACCTTCATCTCCATAATCAAAATTTTTCAAAATTCACTCTCTCTCTCTCTCTCTCTCTCTCTCTCTCTCTCT